ACTCGGCCCCTGTTTTCCCACCCGCCTTGAGCTTCTCGCCCATAGCCGACACCTTCTTATACGTTTCCGTGTATTTGTCGCCGGGCATACTGGGCGGTCTTTGTCTCCTTCTGTGGTTGAAACGGGGTGCTGTGGAAGGTTGAGAGGTTGAGGGGTTTCTGGTGCCGGCACTGTTAGCTCATGTCGCTCTCCCTCTCTCTCACACGCTCTCGGAAAAGGTAAACAGGACCAAGAGTCAAAAGCACAACTGGACAAACTTACTGACGTAGATTCGGTGCAAGGTGCAATGTGCAGGGAGAAAAAGGTGTTGTGAGGGTTGGGGTTGAGTTGGATAGCGGGGGTGGCGTTGGTGTGGTTTTTGGTGGGGGGCACATGAGCGGTCGGTCCGGTATGACGTTGGGGCGGAGGGGCGGGATGTCGGAGTATGGAGAGTGTGGCTCAGTTTAGATTGGGTGGGTGGGACAAGGGTGGGTTGGATTGGATATAACTACTGAGGTTGAGATTTACTCTATAGCTTGGGTTGCGATGTTTGACTTTGTTCAGGTATGCAGAGGTATTTTTTGGAGAGTTTGTGCATTGGCTTTCTGCTTGGAGCCTTTTTCTAGATATCAAATTCACGGTGTTGGTATTCTCTTCGTTTGGGCCGGTACCGTATTTCCTCTGCTATGCTTGTTTCTCGTCCAACATCAAATCAGTCCACGTCCACTGCATCTTTGCATTCGGATGTTCTGCTTCGTCCGCCTCTTCAGTCTCATCTTCTGCCTCATTTTCACTATCGGCGTCATCTTCCCTTGGAATTGCTGTTCGGCTTTCACGTCTGTCTAGCTCGCCGTTGTGCATGCCCTCTTCCAACACCCTTGCCTGTTTATATCCTGCCACTGGGTCGGGGGTCCCGTTTGACATGGATGCTCTGAAGCCGTCAGTTCAGCGTCGTCAATTGTTATGAAGTATACATACATTGATTCACGTCTTGTTGCCGATTCGCATAAGCAGGAATTACTCCTTAGGAAGACAGAAGTGCGTAAGCTTTTCAAGCAGCCATGTCGATAATCTGTGTCGCAGTTGCGTGTCTGCAAACGAAGCGTCAGTCATAACGACCACCATCCAGTGTGAAGAAGCACAGCACATACCTCGAAACCCCCGAGAGACGTGGATATATCGTCACGGTTCCATACACTATCCAAGATCTGCTCATCCATCCGCACAGCCATCCCAACCCCCATACTCCTCAGCCCACCCTCCCACACTCCAGTAAACCTCCCAACCATTTCAAAGAACCTCAAATCCCACATAAACCCTTTCGTTTTGTAAGCCCAGAAAACCAGACTTGAAGTAAAATAACAACACAAACACACACATACACAAGAATGCTGGGAACCACCAACCCCCCTTTTCATCCCAGCCGGTGCAGCAGCATCTCTCCAGCTCTATATTTATACACATACTATGATTACAACTAAGGCCCAGCGCCTTGCCGCCCACATCCACACAACCCCCGCACATCCATCACAACCCATCCCATCCTTCCACAACAGCAACCATCACTTTCACTTTCCGTACCAAGGGCACCCCTTCCCCACCCACCACACCTCCTCCCAAAGGAACAAAAATCCTCTTAATCGGAGAAACCCTCGTATCACAACATGCAGAGCCCAAAAAAGTCCTTGAACCATCAATGCCCCTGCAATGCCCGCCTATGTGCATATATCAGGCATGTACACTCGCGCTTACCGCTACGATACCTGTAGGTACCTATGTGGCAACCCCAAGTCCTCCAAATCCCCGTCCCCCCCAATCTCAAGTCCAAACCAGCCCCATCCAACCGCACGCCTCAAACCAAAACAAAAAGAAAAGAAAAAAAAACCCTCCAATGACATTTACAGTAACAATCTAGATAAACGCAGCCTTCCCAACGCGAGGGTCTCCGAATACGATTGTCCTGCAGCAACGATGACGCAGGCAGGGGTTTGCAGATGCGGCGGCGTGTGCAAAGGGAAGGAGAATCCCGGGTTCTGGTGCCGGATAGGCATTGGTTGGATGATGCTGGGGTTGCAGGTGTAGGCGGCCTGGGGTGATGGTGGGGGTTGAGGAGGGGAGGGGGGTGTGGCGCTACAGTACATGTGCACAGTATGTAGTATGCTTAAAAGGACCGGATATGTTGCGAATGCTGTGGAATGGGAAGGGAATGAGAGAGCACGAGGGACGGTCCATTTGACCCGGAGTAGTGGATTGCGGTAGGATGAAGGGTGGATTGGGGTTGGATGAGGTCGAATGCGAGAGAGAGTGCATAGTATGCACAGCAAAGGGAAAGAAAAAGCAATCATACTCTACGCTTGTGCGACAGCATGGGCGCTTGCAACAAATAAGCAGCCGTTTCAGTCATGGACTAAATTGTAAGCAAAGTGAGTACTCTACGGTAGACGGGATATGTACAGTACATATCATCGTGTCATCTTATTTTTATCCGCGGGATGGGCTTTTTCACGTCTGTACGTGTACGTATACGTATAGTTCAGAGAATACGCTTGAAAAACTATTTGGCAGGTTGCAACAGACGTCCATGGCAACTGACAGACGACTGGGCCAGCCGGACTCCGTATGCTCAAATGTTGGCTTCTATCGCCTCCGTTTGTATGTTTGTTCCCCAATCATCTAGCCCCTGCCTCACCGCCGTCCCGATATGCTCATTCGTTCCCATCGTGAAGACTCCAAGTCTATTGTCAATCACCACAAGATGTGAAAAGGTATGATGTACGGTAAGCTGGGAGAAGCAACAACATTGTATAACCCAACCGTTGTAAACCCTTGTCCAAAACAATAGCCTGGGCGCCATCAAGGCCACCTAACGAAGCTCTCTAGAAGGATTCACGGTCAGTGTCGCGAGCACTAGAACAGGACTTGTCCTACAATTCCTTTTCCTGGACTCTGGTGACCTCCTCCCATAGCTTGATAGCGTTGTCGGCTTTCAACTGGCAATTTTTGTTAGCATGCGCAAATTGGTTGTGTCAAGTAGAGCAGGCATGGCTTACCTTGAGCAAATGCATCTCCAGCTCGCCATCTTGAGTTGGCGAGTTGAATAGCAACCGCGTGTCCTCGGGCTTCTCTCCTCGTGCGTTGCCTCCAAAAATCATCTTCTTCGTCACGGCTACATTTAGCAGCAGGCGATGGGTTCCATCGGCACGCAGTACGAATCGGGCTTTCCTGGGCTCCTCATCGGTAATGTTGAACTTGAAGTTCCCGCTACCGCGCTCCTGCCATGCCCGACTGCTGCCCTCACCAGCCATGGTGTAAAGCTTCGCTCGGCCGGCCCAGACTGTGCTTTCGCCTTCTTCACCAGTCTCGTGCGCTACATGATTGTCAGAGATGTCATTCATTGAAGAAGCGGACAACTTACGTTGCTGTGAGAGGAGAGGCTGGCTCGATTGCCGCTCCTCTTTGTTCGTAGTCTCGGATCCCGAGTCCTCGCCATCTTCATCATCCGATGCTTCACCAAAGGCTGCGGTACCAAATGGCTTGTCTGACTTGGATTTCAAACCCTTGATTTCCAGCGATCCGCCTGAAGCAAACGAGCTAAGGCCTTGCCCCTTTGGTGCGGTGGCTAGTCCGGCAAAGCCTGTTGCACCTCCAAACGTAGATGCACCCAAAGTAGGCTTGCTGGAGCCGCCGAATGCACTAAATCCACTGGGAGCACTACCGGCAGATTTGCTCCCAGCAAAGGATGAAAGCTTGCTTCCGCCCGCGGCGCCAAAGGGTGAGCTTGTGCTCGGCTTAGTGCTGCCGAATCCTCCAAACGGAGACGCCGCTGAGCTGGCGAAGCTGCCAAATCCAGAGGACTTGAACTTGTCGTCAGATGTTTGCGGTATCGACTCTGCCTTGTCAGAAGTCTTCGTTGCTTGAGGTTTGGTTGCCATGGCGGCAAAGGGAGATGCTGCAGACGTGTTTGCAAAACCACTACCTGGTGGAATCTATGTGATGTCAGCTCAAGCTAAGCATTGTAAGAATACGAGTGGGTCCGTACCTTGGTCTTTGGCTCAACGGCATCTTTGTCCGACTGATCTCCTTCTTGATCACGTAGGCGTTTTGTGTCTCGCTCGCCGCTTGATTCTGTCCTGGTCTTACCGCTGTCGGCTATGCCTTCTGAGTTCTTCTCAGTAGTCTCTGTTTCCTCTTCAAGCTGCTCGCGTGTCCGCTTCGTTTTGGGGCTGGTGCCTGTGCGTGACACCTTGTCGGTAGCGGTGGTGGCTGCAGCGTCGTCCTTCTTGGGCGTGTTCGTCTGGCCATCTCCATCGTTCTCTGCGATCCGTGATATCGTACTAGGGGCTGGCTTCGTAGGGGGTATTTCGTCCCTGGAGATGTCCCGTGACCTCTTGCGCCGATGTCGCTCAGATCCGAGCTCAGGCCTCTTCTCCGGCTGCTTCTCTGCCTCACCCTCGTCCTCAAAATCTTCGCGACTACGCTTTCGACGCAAGCGTCCACGCTCGCTGTCTGATCCCGATGCGCTCACGTCTGCTGCAGTGTCCCTCGTGTGCTGGGGTGAGCCAGAGTGGGGATCGGACGTGGCCTGCGCGTCGATTTGTGTCTCCTTGAGCTTGTTCCTGACTTCCTTCCCCTCACTGTCGCTGCTCTTGTCGCTTCGTGCGGGGGAGTTGGCGCCTGCCTGAGGAGGGTCTTTCGATTCGACTGTAGGAGTGGTCGCGGCCATGGTACCATCCTGTTGTTCTGGTGTGTCTGTCATGGTCGGAGTATCTGCGCTGGACCGGTGGAAGTTCGGGATGCGCGTTGGGGTAGGTGGGTGGAGCGTAGGAGTGGGTTGCGGGCACGACGAGGTAGAAGGCTTGGTGTCGAGGTATTTGTAGCAGTGCGGGTCGCGCAATCGTTGTTCCACGCAGGCTATTGTTGGCTGCCTCAATGGCCACAATAGCAAGTAAGACTGAGGTGAAAGGCGGTGTTGAGCAAATGACGACAGTAGCGGGCAGACGAACTGGTACGAGCTGCTCGGACGAGGCTAACTGTGGCGGAGTCACTGATGGACGGACCGCACTACAAGTGAGCGTAGGTCTCTGCGCGATAAACGGTCTTCTCCAGTGAAACTGCGGCGGGGTCTGGTGTAGTGATTTGGTCCGGTCAGGAGAGCTCTGGAGTTGCAGACTGTGGTTGTAGTGGAGTCGGTCAAAGCGCTTTCAGCACGATTTGCATCCAATTTCCAGTCTAATATGCGCCCGCCGATGCGAGGAATTGGACAGCACAGAACAAACACTCCACCCCAACACACACACATGTACAGAGCAAAGACAAAGGCCGTAGCAGCGTGTTCTTGTTGTTCCGTCGACGGCGGTGTGTAGCGGTGCTGGCGCCTCTACTCTATCGGTCGTGGTTGAGTGTGTTGTCGCCCGCTGCCCAGATAACCAATGACGGAGTGGGGAATGGCGGACAGTCCAGGCTAAACATGGGAGCGCGGGTAGCAGCAAGTCGGTGTCTTGCGGGTGGCTGCCTGCCTGTGCATCAACTTCTACAGTTTCATGGTATTGGGGCCAGTAGTATAGCCTTCCCATAGACAGGTTTTGGGTCGTGTGTCGGACGGACAGATGTTCATTATTGTCTTGCCTTTTAGCTTTGTTCCTCTTGTATGATACTGCCCCTGGTATTGTGAGACAAAATGGCGAGATTGTGACAAACTCCTCAGTGTACTCTCAAACTACCCTCTATGGGAAAAATGGTATACTTGGAGTACTGCTATCATCTTACAAATGGGTATTCTAGGTGATGAAACAAAGGCAACCCAGCGCGATATAAAAGACAAACAACGGGTACACAGCAATGCCCACACGGTTTCTGACCACTCCAGAGCCCCCCATGATGCTCACACCTGCCGCCAGTGACCATGCTATGAGCACTAGATAGACCGGTATCCTGACAATCATGGGAATGCCTACAGCACTGAGAATCGAGGCGATGACGAGAGGGAACAGGGTGTAGCCAATAATGGACACGGACTGGAAGAATGCGCTGGCCAGATGTTAGCTTGTCTCATAGAAGGCGGTTTGCACAAGTCCAACATACATGTTGCCGCCCAACAGCTTGATCTGCAGCGTGACAACAGCTTCGCCTATCCACACCATGGCGAAGACGCCTGAGAAGACCAGGTTTTTCTGGTCTCCCTTGGCTCCCCACGACAGGAACAAGCTCAGCAGCAGGCAGAAGACGAGCGGACCCCACAGGTCCCAGTCTCTCAGCCCCTCGCTCATGCCGCCCTGGAGAATGACGTCGGCGTCTGGCCATCTGCCTGCGATGCTCCTGAGGCCTCCGCCCGACCCGTCTGCCTCACCGCGCTCGGCTGCGCCTATGCCTCCTCCCCGTTGCATCATGCCGCCCAGTAGGTATTTGGGGTACAGGACCTGCTTCAGCTTCTCCCATATCGCAAGCACATCGCGCGACAGCGTCTCCCATACCGTCTCGTCGATGGTGTTGGTGGGCGCGCGCCGGTCTTCGCCAGGAATGGTGGAAGTCAGGTACGATTGCGTGTTGGACGCGCTCCGCTGGATGTTGCCCGTCAGCGGCGCGCGGTCCGAGGTCCCTTGGAGGGGGTCGTCGAGGTCATCGAGAGTCGCTGAAGCAGGGGAGGGTTAGCGCATGGTTATCTTGTACATAGTACATAGTACATGGTTAGGAGATAGTACATGCACATGGCACATGATCATGTATCATGGATGGACTGGGAGCCCTCGGTAGCCCTGGGTAGCCCACTCTACCTTCACGCAGGGCCATGGCATGAATGCAACGTACCATCGTCCGGATCAATCAGGTCACGCTCCACAGCATCGTTATCATACGGATGGCCCGACGAAGTGGCAGCACTTGGCATCATGGCCATGGTGAAGGCAAAAAAAAACTAAAAACCTGCGTGGACGGAGCGCGGGATAATTCTCCAATCGGTAGCTACTCTACTATCGTGGACAGTAGGTGAGGCTCTGTGGCCTCTTCGCAAGCTTCCGTCGTTGTTGACACAGGGTGCGGTACCAAAGGCGGTTAGTGTTCCGCTGCCAGGGAAAGCTTAACATGCCAGCCGGGGCAGGGGTGCGTTCAATCTGCGCGCTCATTGACACTCTCTAGCTCTCTGCATATTTCCCGTACTCTCTTGTCGGCTGGGCAAAAGACGTGTGTCTGCGCGCTATATATTAAACCCACTGCAACACCTCTCTCCCCCCCGTGCAGGACGTTGAGGAACAATTTTGCGCATCATGGCCGACCCCGTATTGAACGACATCTCGCACAGGCGCTTCAACCTACTACGCGGCAGTTGGATATTAGTTTCTCCGCATCGTACAAAGCGGCCATGGCAGTAAGCAGGAAAACGAGACTCTGCGCCGCAGTCGTTTCGAATACTGACTGTATCCATCCAGAGGCTCCCAGGAATCGCCAACCAAGACTACGCTGCCAGAGTACGATGAAAAGGTAAGCGAAGCCCCCACTATGTGGTAAGCATCGACATGCACAGAGAGGTACTAACCTTTTCCAGTGCTATCTATGCCCTGGCAACACTCGAGCAAATGGAGAGCACAATCCCAAGTTCGAAGACACCTATGTCTTTGTCAATGACTACAGCGCCGTCATGGAAGAGCAGCAGGAGTATCGCCCCGACAGCAAAGACGGATCTCTGGCTTCTCGACTACTCCGTGCTGAAGCCGTGACGGGAAAGTGCTACGTCATCTGCTTCTCACCCTCCCACAACCTCACGCTGGCCGACATGACGCCCAGCCAGATTCTTCCAGTCGTCGAAACCTGGACGAACATCTACGCCACACATCTGGACCCGAAATCGCCATTGGCTAAACTTGCCGCTGCGATGCAGCTACCCCAGCTCTCTCAGGGCCCTCTATCTGCCCCAAACGCCCAATATCGGTATATGCAGATCTTTGAGAACAAGGGCACAGCCATGGGCTGCTCGAACCCGCATCCTCACGGACAGGTCTGGACTACTACTTCGCTCCCAGAAGAGCCAGCCATGGAGTTGGTGCAACTAAGCAAGTACCGGAGAGAACACAACGGCTGCCACATGCTGGTCGATTACGCGCAACTCGAGTCTCAAGAGAAGATTCGCACCGTCTTCGAGAACGAGAGCTTCTGGGCCGGTATTCCATACTGGGCAGTCTGGCCCTTTGAGGTGATGATTGTATCTAGGCAACACAAGCGATCCCTAGTCGACTTTACCAAAACCGAGCGTGCACAATTAGCCGAGTGCATAGCAGAAGTCACTAGGCGATACGACAACCTCTTTGAAACGCAATTTCCCTACAGTAAGTGGCCTAAAAATGCGAGCTCTCCAAGTCAATTACTGATCACTCCACAGGCATGGGTATCCATCAAGCTCCCCTTCAAGGAACAGCAGATGAGCTCGAATCCAGCCATTTCCATATTCACTTTTACCCACCCCTACTTCGAAGCGCCACGATCCGTAAATTCCAGGTCGGTTATGAGATGCTCGCTGAACCACAGCGTGACATCACCCCTGAGCAGGCTGCCGAGCGCCTGCGAGCGTGCGGCGGTGAACTCTACCGCAAGAAGCTCGAAGCTTCACCAACCAACGGTGTCAATGGTGTGAATGGAGTCAACGGTACCAATGGTATCAATGGCCACCATTGAACATGACATCCTCTCAGCGAATCTTGCCTTCGTGTTCCTTTCTAGTTCTGACGGACAAGACGTCTATATTCTTGGATTTTGCCTAGCTGCGTGTACATGGCAGTTGACACTTGACATGCACCGTATCCGGCGGCCTCACTCCAAGGATACAAGTGGATAGTGACGTTTTTTACGACTGTGCTGCAATGTTGGTAATATATTTGCATTTGGCGGCGTAAAGTGGCGTTCAGCGATTTCATCGCAGTAGTATATAGCTGTGTATTCTTACTTTTGCAACGACGACGATTACAATTCTGATTCTGATAGCATTATTCTTCCCAACTATGAATGTGAGAAGCTTTTCATGATTAGCCCTCCTCAAGATCTTACACCTACCTTTAGGCTGCCTGCTTGCCAAGGCTCTGATGAACCCAAAGCCTCATCCATGGATCCCGCTCAAGCTACAACGACTACACCAGGGTCCGGCAGACTACAACCAGCATACACGCATGGTCAAAACCAGCCAAGTTAAAAAAAACACTCTCAAACCACGAATAAAAACACACTCCCTCGATTTCAAATCAGAACGACCTACATACGTAAAATCAACCACATCGTTACTCGCACAGACCCCCCCGGTTCCCCATCCCTGGAAAAGTCCTGGACCCTCCAAAGTCCAACAAGGCTGAACAAGCCGCAAAAACACAACAACGGCACGCGCCATTGAACCTCTGCGCTCACAACACTCACGCTCGTTCCTCAACGTGAAAAAATCACAATGGCATCGGCATTCCCTTCGTACCTCCCTCAAGCCGAGGGACTCTTGCCAAAATGGCTCCTATTTGTAAGTGTTCTCTACTTTCTCAGCTGTACGTTTGCTGGGTAGGAAATGCACAGCAACGTGCGCCGACGTCAACGCCCCTTTTCTTCTCACCATACCTTCAAAAAAAAACCTCGAACACCTAAAACTCCCCCAATAGAAGAAGAGAACAAACTAACACCCCTTCCTTTCTCCCCCCCCCAATAGGTCGCCCTAATCTCCACCGCCAACTCCCTACAAGCCTACACAACCCTAACCTTCACCTCACGCGTCTACAACCCCACGCCCATCGACCCGCCCCCCACCACGCCCAAACACGTCACCGCGTTATCCTCGCGCACCTTTGGCACCTGGACGCTGCTGACGTCGCTTGTGCGCCTGTACGCGGCCTACCACATCAACGAGCCGGCCATGTATCAGTTGGCCATGTGGACGTATGGGGTTGCCTGGCTGCACTTTATGAGTGAGTGGTTAGTGTTTGGGACGACAAGGTGGGGGAGGCCGTTGGCGGGGCCTGTGTTGGTGGCGAATGGGAGTTTGATTTGGATGCTGCTGCAGTGGGGGTGGTATGTTAAGGCTTAGGTCTAGGGGTTAATGTAAAGGGAGGGGGGCGGCTGGGGATAATAGGGGATCCTGGGAGGGGCATACTGATGTAGTATATATCCACGATGACAGGTGTTTTGATGGAGTACATTGGAATCAGGGCTGTTGTGCCGTTCGACATTTACTGATTGATAGCGAGTCTTACGATCGAATTGCAAACGCAGCTCTAAATGTCACCATCGTTGTTGTCAAGATCTTGTGTACATTGCAATGCCATTGATCAGGTTCCTCTCGCGAGATGACTCCACGCATCACAAGCATCAAAGCAGTATTGGACTTTTGACCTGCCTCGGTGGCTGTCTGGCCTTCCGAGGGCTTTCATTGATCATAGTTGGAGAAACATACATGGCCCATTGGACTCCATTTCCTCAACCCAGATGCAGAGTTTTGACGACCATATCGACAACCATCATGCCCCGACACGCTTCTTCCCTTGCCTTATCATGAACCCGTTACTCCTTCCCCTTTGTGCGTTTAAAACTTGGAGAACTGCTTGGCGGCCTTTCCACTACGGGGGAGGACACGGAGAACGTTGAAACGGACGGTCTTGGAGAGGGGCCTGCACTGGCCAACAACGACCTGGTCACCGGGCTCGGCACGGAAAGCGGGGGAAACGTGTGCGGCAAGGTTCTTGTGGCGCTTCTCGTAACGGGAGTACTTGGGAATGAAGTGGAGGTACTCGCGGCGGATGATCAAGGTGCCTGTGAATTATTGTAAGCCCCTACTGCCATGCCAGATTTCCGCGTCCCCTCATTCCTCGCTGTGCGCGAAAAGCTGGGACACGACGGGAAAAAACGTACGGTGCATCTTGGTGGACATGACAGTTCCGGTAAGGATACGGCCACGGATGGAGACCATGCCGGTGAATGGGCACTTCTTGTCGATGTAGGTGCCCTCAATGGCTGTCTTGGGCGTACGGAAGCCCAGACCGACATCCTTATACCATCTCCTACTGCGGGTGTTCTTGCGGGGTCCGCCGACCTTGTGGTTCAGGAAGATGTGAGGCTATTGCGTCGCATTAGCATCGTCATTCTCTAGCATGTCGCGGTGTACTGGGCTGGCAGTACCTGCTTCTGGTAAGCGCGCTCGGACTGGACGCTGTTTCGCAGTCAGTTTCTGTTATTTGGGCGATATAGCGATGCGCAGGAACATACGTCAATTCGGTAGCCATGGTTGCGGTCTGTTGTTGTCGGTCGTCTGTTCAGAATTGCATTGAGGTCGGTCAGTTTCAGTGGGCGCTTTTCGCTTGAGTGCGCGCTAGCCGAACAAGGAACCTACACTCTTGGCGCGCGGCGCGAGTGGACGTACAAACACCGACATGATGCTAGTGGAGCCCTGAGGCCTCGGCAGGACATTTTTCCTCCCCAAGAACGTTCTTTCGCAAGGTGGTGGATTCTGGTTCACATTACCTAAGGTAGCTGGTGAGGCCATTTCATTCACTATGGGAAACATTCTCGAGTCAATCGGTGTGCGCATTGATGCCGACAACACGTTCGTTCAGGCTGCGGTGTATGGCCTTCTGGTGATTGGCATTGCTTCATTCGCAGCACCCATCATCAGCACGATTCGCGTCCTGCTGAGTTTGTTTGTCCTGCCAGGCAAATCCGTGAGTTAATGTCAAGACATCGTTCATCCCATATTGAAATGCTAACATATGCTAGCTCAGCACGTTCGGGCCTCGCGGTACCTATGCTCTGATCACCGGTGCCTCTGATGGCATTGGCAAGGAGTTTGCCCTTTCACTCGCCGCAAAGGGCTACAACTTGATTCTCGTCTCGCGAACCCAGTCGAAGCTCGACAGCTTATCCTCTGAAATTTCCGCCAAATATGGTCCAAAGATCACGGTCAAGACGCTGGCTATGGACTTTGCGCAGAACAAGGACTCCGACTACCATAACTTGAAGAAGCTCATTGAGGGGCTCGACATCAGCATCCTCATCAACAATGTGGGATTGAGTCACAGCATCCCAGTACCATTCGTCGAGACGCCCAAGCAGGAAATGAACGACATTATTATCATCAACTGCATGGCGACACTGCGCGTTACACACATTGTCACACCTGGTATGGTCTCGCGGAAGCGTGGTCTTATTTTGACCATGGCTTCCTTTGGCGGCTTCTTTCCTACGCCTCTCCTCGCAACATACTCTGGCAGCAAGGCCTTCCTTCAGCAGTGGTCAACCTCGCTTGGTTCCGAACTCGAACCGCACGGTATTACTGTCCAATGTGTACAATCTCACCTAATCACCACCGCCATGTCAAAGATCCGCAAAACCTCTGTCCTCGTGCCCAACCCAAAACAATTCGTTCGCGCAACACTTAGCAAGATTGGTAGGAGTGGTGGCGCACAGAACGTGGCCTTTACATGCACGCCATACTGGAGTCACGGTCTTATGCAGTGGTTCCTCTCCCGCTTTTTGGGCGAGAGGTCGCCCATTGTTGTTAAAGTGAATAGGGGTATGCACGAGAGCATTCGCAAGCGTGCGCTCAGGAAGCAGGAACGTGATGCGAAGAAGCAGTAGTTGTGAACCCGACTGAACTAGGTGGCAAAGAGTTGACGCGTCACCTACCTAGTTCATCATAAGGAGTTTGTAAATGTGGACATCAAACCGATTAAATCTGGTAATAGTGGGGATTAGCGTCACAGAAATATAATGCTCACAGAGTTTCTATTACCTTGAATTTTGTGGTTGAGTTTTGAGTAGTCAAGAGCCAATGCTTTCGGTCCTGTTGGAGACCATGCTTGCTAATGTTGCGGGATCATCCCAAAATAGCGTGCTGTCAATCTACCGCTGATTCATGCCCCTGACTAAGGTTCAGCCGCATACGATATACCCCTGTCTGCCAATGTGTCCACCGCTGTCTCAAGTCTTTCATATTCATCAACATGTCTGACTTCTGGTCGTCCTATCATCGCTTTTGTGATTTCCTTCAGAGCGGAAGATGAGAGGTTCTATGCAGTATGAACGTATTAATGGCAAAGCGGGTCCCAACATTTCGGATGACGCGGATGAAGAGGCCCAGTGCATGCTAAGAGAAGAGCTGGATTTCGAAGAGTCACTACCAAGGAGTACTTCATCAAACAAACGACGAGGAATCTTTGGGCTTTTACAAGGGCGGGATCCAGCTCGTCCATTCAGCATCCGTCCGGTCTTTCCGAAGCTGCAGGAAGCTCCATCCAGATACCTCGATTCTTTAGCGGTCAGCAAAAAAGTCTTACTTGCAGTAGTCCTCTTCGCCTGGTTTGTCCTGTTCGCCTGGTTTCTGAGCTCGAAGCTTCCAGTACAAGACGGTATCGGTAACCCTGTAATTAACCTGGATTGCCTCGATACACTCTGGCGGCGAAAGAATGAGTGCGGTGTCGATGGAGTAGATTGCCACCCCTTCAGCAATCACACCTTTGCCTTCCGCTGTCCAGCTAAATGTGGCGATGAAATGCTGTTAAATCCACATGTGGTTGGACCACAAGAGTATAACTATCGCCCACTCGTCGTTGGAACAGACACGTATCGCGGAGACAGCGTTGTGTGCGCTTCTGCGATCCATGCTGGCGTTATCAAAGATGGTGTAGGAGGCTGTGGGCGTATCATGTTGACCGGGGACTATTCACTCTTCGCAAGTTCCAAAAGTCATGGTATTGAGTCGATATCTTTCGACTCCTATTTCCCACTTTCATTCACTGTTACCTCAGATGAGAATTTCCACTGCAGTCCAGACCCACGTTCTGCACTTCTCCCCATCTCCCTCTTCTTCACGGCTTTGCTTGCAGTCTTTTCAAGTTCACCGAAAATCCTCTTCCCAATCTTCGTCATCATATTCGCACACGTCAGTTTTGTATCTGACCCGCCGACGGCATCGTACCGGAACACCACCGTCCTCCCGGACCACATTTCCATGTTCGCAAAGCGCCTCCTTCCAGCAATGTTCGTCACAGTAGTGATGTACACAGTCACCATCAAACGTACACTTACGGGGATAACTGCACACTTCGAGAAGGCAATCTTATGGCTAGGAGGTTTCTGGATCGGCGCACTTGAAAACTACACCTTCGAATGGATACCCATCTCGCGCCTCACCGCACACGACCTGGAGCAACAGCCTGGTGCAAAACTCGCCCTTGGAATCATCATCGTCATCCTCTTCGCCATCGTTCTGGGTCAGATATACTGTTTTTGGATCGAAGCGCGTTTAGCACGCCACCTTGCCCTGTACGGCCTTTTCATCCTCGCAATTCTAATCTGCTTGATGATCCCCGGGCTCAACCTACGCATTCATCACTACATTCTAGCCCTGCTTTTTCTCCCAGGGACGAGCCTGCAGACGCGTCCGTCGTTGCTATACCAGGGCATATTACTCGGCCTCTTCATCAACGGTGTTGCGCGCTGGGATTTTGCTTCCGTCCTGGAAACCTCGGAGGCACTGCGAAATGATGGGCGGTTCAATTCTGTGGTTCCACATATGTTGGACCCGGTTATTACAGCCGTTTCGGGAGAAACTACGGCGTCGTTCATGTGGGAGGAGCAGCCTGCTGGTGTCGATGGGATCAGCATGCTTGTGAACGATGTTGAACGCAGTCGTATTTTCTTCAATGAGCATAGAGAAGGTGTAGGTGATCGGTTTGAGTGGAAGAGACCGGCGGATATGGACTTGAATGAGTACTTCAGATTCGCCTATATGCAAAGTGGGACGACGCTGGACTACTCGATTCCTGGGACGCTGTTTAGGAATGGGACGTATGTGGCTGGGGATCTGAGTTCGGCTGATGAATGAGGCGATGAGATGGGCACATGCGTCACGCAAAGTTGGCAACCACAATGGCGTTATGCGTATATGTTTTTCTGAGCTTAGGTCTGCACTCACCATGCATCCTATACCTCAATCGCTCAGAATCCCCGCCATCGTCTCTTGGTCCAATCATCAAGGAACATCATGGCCCTGACGATACACCATTGTCATTGCTTGGCCGTCTCAACAACCTAATTTGTATAGATATGCTGAGACAATTTGTTACACCAATATACGCTGAGGTGTGCCGTTCTATATCCAAGCATCTACATAGTAAATAACAACAATTGCACTGATATCATTTATCACACACTATGACGATGTAGGGATACGAGTTCAATAATTCCATCTAACCAAACCCTGTAACTAAAAACCAAACAACGAAGTCAACGTAAACCCCCAATACCCTTTAAACCCCATAGAGGAACTTGCGACATCGCAGTGATTGGAATACGAGATCTTGGCAAGGGGTTCTTTCATTGACTCGCGTACGCAATGCCACGCGTCGATCTCGTTGTTGACCTTCACTCCTATACTCCATGCGGCCACGGGTCCGGACCTCTGAATTGCCTTGGGATATAGAATTGTGTGTGTTGAGGTCCATGTACGTGCATGTAATTCACTTGGAATACCCATGTCCGCTGCGCGTTCAAGGGGCGAATCTCCTCGATCTCCGGACGAGATAGACGTCAAAGAGAGAGAGCAAGAAGGTCTTTGTTTACTTGGACTACTGTGTTGGCTAGTAGAACGAATACATCTGCGGCGGTGGTTGAGAAGCTCGTCAGGAGGGATTGAGAGAGTTGCACCTCGAGGTTGGGAAGAGCCCTATCTTGAGAAAATCTGTTGGTCTTTGAGTGTAGACACACTGTGTGAGACTGATAACATGCACTGTCTTGTATATATCATCGTTCACAGTCTCCATAAAATCACTGGGCCTTGATTCTTTGCATCTAATCGTGCTGAGCTTTTCTTTGATGCCTGTGCTCGCAATTACCGTAAGCCCTGGCTACCTGCGACAGGAAGCAATTTCTTTAATTGAAAACAAACAGTCATTCCATAACATGAACTCATAATCTGAATGATTCTCTTGACCTGAGACGTTGGGCTAGGTGGCATCATGGTGGTGTGGCTGCGGCTTTCCTGTCGTCGCGAAACTCCGTCTGGTGTGGAGCTGGAGCCTCGGCCGAGCCAAAACACCGACTTCTGACGTGCGCCACGCCAAGGTCGGCTCTGCAATATCGCTATACCTCTGGAATCCTTGGACAGAAAATGCCGCGTTAGCAGATTGTACAAGGTAGGGCAAAAGTTTATAGTTAACTCCGCGAACAACGGACGAGCTGGATGATGCTCTCACGGGATATGCAAAGAATCCATGATGGTCTTTTGGTTCTGGGTGCAGGTAGGTAGATGACGTACGAACTTCCTGACCTCACACTGTCATGCCTGGATAGAAGCAATGTAATTCCAATCATGGAAGAATCAGGCGACGCCGAGTTGAGCTTCGGACTTCGCTCTATTGTATGAGTCGAGTTGCATTAGCTATGTGTTACTATCCTCCCTATACATATGGACAACGTGAGTCGTTTTCACTGATGCGTACATACACATGAACTTGACTACGCATCACTGCATTATAATTAAACAACATAAACTACAAACAAATCGTTCCAAGACTCCTATCAGCTCCAATGAATTCCTTTCGAGGACCCTTTGTGGGTAACGGCAGCTCATCTGACGATGAGCCAACAATTGCCATGAAGCGAACGCGCACCCAGCAGCCAAATGTCTCGGTAATCGCTATGCTCAAAGCTCTCATACCAGCAGCCCTGCTGATACTCGTCGTCTTCTGGATCAACGCAGCTCACATATACGGCCTCTTCAGGAACCAAGGAGCCCATGTCAAAGGAGCTCGAGTCGCGCTGGCGGACTTTGATGGCGGCGACTTTGGCCACACGCTTCGAACAGCAGCAGCGATGAATAGCGGAAAATACGGATTTCCGACCTATGTCAGCATCGACACCGTAGACTCCGATCCGGAAAACATCAGGCGCGAGGTCTTTGAAGGCAAGTACTGGGCGGCTATTGTTGTTCAGCCTGGGGCCTCGGCGCGCTTTGAGGATGCACTGAATGGCACTGCAACATCCTATGACGCTCGCGATGTTTACACATACTATACTTTGTCAGCAAGATATTACTCCTTGTACGTTCCAGGCATACAATCTACGACAGCCACAATAGCATCGACAGCAGCTACACTGTTCAGCCAAGAGGTCGTCGCAGAACGCATAGCCACCGGCACCTTCGCAAACACCACAGCCGCCGCAAGTGCTCTCGCTCAGCCCGTACAAGCAGTCAGTCGCAGTGCAGCATCGCAGGACTACGCCGACCTGGACACCAAGATCTTCATCAACACCCTAGGTGCAATCCTGCCCATATTGATGCAATTCTTCTTCATCATGGCTTGGAATGGAATTTGCAATGGCATGCACTTGTACGCCGGCTACACGTTAAAGAGACACATCATCTCCCGCCTCTTCTGGAGCATAACGTTTCCTTGTCTCAGCAGCCTCTGCGTCACAGGATGGACCCTTGCCTTGCGCGGCCGATACCACATCAACGCCCGAATCTTTTTTGCTTACTGGACCGTCACGTGGGTCTACAGCATGATATCCTTTGACATCCTGGACATCATCACCGGCTTCCTACCCATGCCTTTCGTCCCCTTTCTCATGATCAGTTGGGCCATTTTCAATGTGGCTGCTGCCCTGGGCACTACGGTAAAAAATTGTTTACTGTAGAATGGTACGCTAGGGGTTTACTATATAGGTGTAAACTGACCTCGTGTATACCCGTAAATAGGTTTGAAGTGGTGGTTTACTTTATTATAGGTGGTTTAAATTAAGTATAAAAAGTAGTTTTATATCTATTATACGCTATAATACCTAACTAAGACTAAAAGGGGTAGAAAAGATTAGCTTCACGCTATACGCACATATGACATAATAATGAGTC